CCAAGAAAAACCGATGGCATTAATTCAAGATTTAAACTAAAATATAAGCATTGGTTAATGCCATGTATATCTTTCAGGTCACTAAGATGAAATTATTTTACGAAATATTGCAATCGGAAAAAGTTACAAAAACAATATTGTTAATGTTTTATGTTTTCAAAGTATCACGATTGAAATATTTTCTTTATTTTTTTTGTGACATTTTTGAGTATTGTTTGTGATTTTGGCAATTTTATTTAGTATAAAGAGGGAATACTTACTTTATAAAAATAAAATGGCCGATGAAATTTATCATTATCTAAAATCCGTTTTTCCAAATTTTGAGATCGGTTTTTTCTGACACAATTAACTCTAGAATTCCAGCCTTATGTTAACGGCTTTTTGATTTTTTTTTGTTTTATTTCAAAGATTGCATACATCCCAAATCATCCCAAATGTATTCAATGTATGAAATTTTTTGATATATTCATGAAAGTAATTTATATAATGTATTTGATTGTTTTTCAAAGCAGCATTTTCACCTTTTGAAGTCTATATTATGCAAAATGCTATCTTACAAATCATTGGTTTGAACCAACTTTATTTGAAACGTCTTCAGAAACAACGTTGTACGGCAATGCTGTGCATGCATTCTTGTTTCAATTTTTTTTTTATTTTAAGAGATAGAGACCTTATATTTACCGACCGTATTGTGTAAACAATAGGTAGGTTATGTGATGGCAACAAATTTTGCATATCGAGTTTTCGTTGGGAACGTACTTCTCCATAGTAGGGAAGTGTAAATAAACTATTTTTAGCAACCTGTCGGTCTGTCGGTCTGTTTGTGCACGCGTGTATCTCAAGTTCTGCTGAACCGATTTTGATGAAATTTTATATGTAAGTTTATTTCCACCATGGCACGGATTAATCAACTTTTGGTATATATCAGGCCTCGGGAACTGCACTTTTTTGCGGGCCTCTTTTACATTTTTGAACATTTTGAAGAATGTATTCAACCGATTTACTTGAAATTTTATTTATAAGCTCAGCTCGACCGTCCGCGAAAATTTCTATGTTTTGGAAGAAATCAGGCATCGGTAACTAGACGTTTACTACGGGCCAAATATACATTTTTGTGTACATAAAGAGAAATAATCAACCGATTTCATTGAAATTTAATATATGAATTCCTCATATTAAAGCAATGAACATATACATTTTTTGGAAAGATCTGGACTCGAAAACTGATTTGCGGGCCGATTTTACATTTTTCACCATTTTGAAGAAAATATTCAACCGATTTACTTAAAATTTTATATATGAGCTTTGCTCGACCTTCAGTGAAAATTCCTAGCTTTTGAAACAAATCAGGGATCAGCAACTAGACGTTTACTACGGGCCAAACATACACTTTTGTGTATATAAAGAGAAATAATCAACCGATTTAATTGAAATTTAATATATGAATTCCTCATATTAAAGCAATGAACATCTAAATTTTTTGGAAAGATCAGGGCTCGAAAACTGATCTGCGGGCCAATTTTACATTTTTCACCATATCTACGGAACGAATTGATGGAATTTCTTGAAATTTGATATTTGAGTTCTGGTTGTTACCGAAACTAACTGGCGAGCATTTCAGGGAATTCGGGTAGCACAAAGCCAAACTCTACTAAGAGCCAAATTTACATTTTTTTAGGTATGTTAACTATAAGCTTACTAATGTCCTAAAAATTGGAAAGAAGTATTTAAAAGACATTTTTATGATATTCTGTAACACATTCATTTAACTAGACAATACACAATGCGGTCGGTTATGTGCTGACCACATCAGATTTCTTTTATTGTGCCATACAACGCACAAAACTTATTTAAGCAGCATTTAAAAATCTCGAGCATAGAACTTTTTATTTTTTATGATTTGGAAAAGAAATACGATTTATATATTGCTCAAAATATTTAATCGAATTTCTTCTTTATAAAGTTCTATATCTAACATAAAAGTACTATAAATCGCTTTTTGTTTTTGTTTAAAATTTTACGTTGTAGATTTTATTTTCATTATTAAAGCTAAATTAGCGTTATTGAACACTTGATTTAATATTAATGAATTTCATAATAGCAAAACCGTTAAAATCATTACAAAGCGGTGTAATATAAAAATTACCACTAGGTAATTTTTCCAGGTTTTTTACTTGGAAATGATTGGAAATCAAAATAGAATTTTATAATTCGTAACGAATTTATGCATGTTTATTGTTTTTCACAATTAAAGTTTAATATATATTATGTTAAATGCTTCCGTATATTGACACTAGGTACATATGTATAAAAAATAATGAATAATAATATTATCCCATTAAAAAATTTATTTTTCGAAAATGTAATAAAATTAATTGCTTGTGTACATTCTCTGAAGCTATATCAGTTCTTGATGACAGCATCACTGATGTACGTATACATACATACATACAATCATACCATATAAGTAATTCAACATACTCCTTGTATGAAGAACAAAAATTTACCTTTTTTTTGATGGAATCTTTCATAATGTTGTTCAAAATTAATGAAATTTTAATTATTCTGTTTAACTTTGTCACATACACATCTATGTACATTAATTTCTCTTCCCAATTTCTAAATTATAACTCCTCTTTATTTGTTCAAGCATACATACATATAGCTTTTGGATGTGTGCTTAAGTACAATATATTTATTTATACTATATCATTATGCTCATTATACTATACCCATGCCAAATTAACCAACAATAATTAATAATTAACAAATTTAGTTTTCTCTCCTTATGCCATATATGGAAAATTCGTTTTGTGTAAATTTACCATTTTATTCATTAATTTTTATGATAACATAATTTTAGATAGGTAATGCATTATATATCAAATTTTTGAGTAAATTAATTTTTCCAACGTGCGAAATAAAATTCTAATTAGATTTTAAGTATTAAAATTTAATATTAGAATTTAAGATTCCATGCGTACTTTTTACCGACCGCATTGTGTATACAATAGATAGGTTATGTGATGGCAACAAATTTTGCATATCGAATTTTCGGCGGTGGTGAACCGATTTTGATGAAATTTTATATGTAAGTTTATTTCGACAACGGCACGGATTGGTTTACATTTTTGACCATTTTGAAGAAAATATTTAACCGATTTACTTGAAATTTCATATATAAGCTTCATTCGAAATTTAATATTTAAATTCTTCGTACTAAAGCATTGAACATATAAATTTTTTGGAAAGATCAGGGCTCAAAAACTGATCTGCGGGCCGATTTTATAGTTTTCACCATATCTACGGAACGAATTGAAGGATTTTTTTGAAATTTGATTTTTGAGTTCTGGATGTTGCCGAAACTAACTGGCGAGCATTTCATGAAATTCGGTAGCACAAAGCGAAACTCTACTATTAGCCAAATCTACATTTTTCTAGGTATGTTAACTATAAGCTTACTAATGTCCTAAAAATTGGAAAGAAGTATTTAACAGACATTTTTATAATATTCTGTAACACTTTCACTTAGCTAGACAATACACATTGCTGTTATTTGCTGTTATGTCGGTTATGTGCTGACCACATCAGATTTTTTTATTATTATTTGGAAAGATTTTTATGATTTAATTTCACATTATTTTAAATAGCTTGTAGAGTTAATTGCTTGTTTGTGCTCCAGGCTTTTAGAGTACATTCTATTGTTAGAATTCAAAATGGTGTATTGTTTTTCATAAAAAATGAAGTAACTAAAATAATTGAGAAACACAACCAATAAGACTTTTGAAGCTTATTTTTTAGTAGTTGTTTGTTAAGAGCTAAAACTATAAATTGTAGTTTTTGCTATTTAGTCCTATACTATATCATTTTAAACTGTATACGTAAAACATCAACATTTTCCTAAAGTAAACAAGTTATCGCTTATTAAGCTTTAAGATAGTTCGTTCGATATTACTTTAAATAATTATGTTCAAAACTTATAATAACTCAAATAACTTTCTAGGGTCTAAAAAGTGCACAGACCCCTTACTCGATTTTCATGAGGTAGAACCAATTAATTTGTATAGTACAACCTTTCCATTTTTGCAAATACGAAAATTGTTTCAGGAAAATTTAATTATATAGTAAGGCCCCAGCTCATTTCATTCCATGTAATTCTAAAACTAATGTACAAGTTTTTCTAAAATGAATTCAACTTATAACCCAATAAATCAATATCTAACTGGAAAGAGTAAATGTACGTTTCGCTAAAGAGGTTTTTTGCATATCTTTTGAAATCTAAATATGTAAAATTTTAAGGCGTTTTACTTGATTTAAGTGTGCAACCCTACTCTTGCACAGTCATTCTTCTTCTCTTCACTCCCCCCTTTTGCGGACTCAAGGGCTCTCGCTCTCTTTTCCTCACCTGCTCTTGCTAAGCCGCAAAGTGCAAGGTGGGGACGGGACTTCTTGAAAATAGGTTAACTACTCTTACTTCAGGCCCGCTGAGATTCTTTTAGTTGCTCGACTCTCCCTCTCGAACTCTTCGGCATGGTTGGACCTACCACGCGCCACGAATGCATTGTCCGCCGACACAGCTCTCTAATTCAATAATCCGACTTAAGTTGCCTCACCGCGTCAAGGTAGAATATGGGTGAGATAGATTTTGTGGGCATAAATTAAAACAAAGTCTTTCTAACTTGATTCCCTTGTAAAGAATATCAAAAATTTGCAAAGGTGTTTAAAAAAATTAATTTTTTTTGACTGATTCATTGATTTTGACATTAAAGAGATTTTATTATATAAGTAATAAAATGCATAATTAAGCATAAATTGATTATTAGACAATTAATAAAGCTATAGCAATATTTTTAAGCTTAAAATATCATAGTTTAATTATCTTAATTTAACTTATCATCTTAATTCTTAAACGGATCTATAATTACTTAATATAAATAGAGACTTTTTCATAAGCAACATAATTAATTTTTATTAATTTATATTTGTTTTATTATTTCTTACAGGATCGTCATGTGAAACAAAATGGTGATGTGGAACCACAAGTAGATCCATCACAAGATTACATTTTAAAATTAGGTTATGAAAATGCAACACATACAGTTTTCCGTTTCAAAAGAAAATACGACACGTGTGACTCAGTTCATGACATTCCAATAACGGTGAGTCATACTTATAAGATTTTTTATGGATTTATTACCGACCGTATCGTGTAAACAATAGGTAGGTTATGTGATGGCAACAAATTTTGCATATCGAGTTTTCAGTGGGAATGCACTTCTCCCTAATAGGGAAGTGTAAGTAAACTATTTTTAGCAACCTGTCGGTCCGTCGGTCTGTCGGTCTGTCCGTCTGTTTGTGCACGCGTGTATCTCAAGTTCTGCTGAACCGATTTTGATGAAATTTTATATGTAAGTTTATCTTCACCATGGCAAGGATTGATCAACTTTTGGGATATATCAGGCCTCGGGAACTGCACTTTTTAGCGGGCCTGTTTTACATTTTTGAACATTTTGAAGAATGTATTCAACCGATTTACTTGAAATTTCATATATAAGTTTTCCTCGACCGTCAGCAAAAATTTGTAACTTTTTCAAGAAGTCAGGCAACAGCAACTGGACGTTTATTATGGGCCAAATATACATTTTTGCGTATAATTGACCAATTTCATTGAAATTTAATATTTAAATTCCTCGTATTAAACAATGAACATATAACTTTTTTTGGAAAGATCAGGACTCGAAAACTGATTTGCGGTCCGATTTTACATTTTTCACTATATCTACTGAACGAATTGATGGAATTTTTTGAAATTTGATATTTGAGCTCTGGTTGTACCACCGAAAATAACTGGCGAGCAGTTTATGGAATTCGGGTAGCACAAAGCGAAATTCTACTAAGAGCCAAATTTACATTTTTCTAGGTATGTTAAATATAAGCTAACTAATGTCCTAAAAATTGGAAAGAAGTATTTAACAGACATTTTTATAATATTCTGTAACATTTTCACTTAACTAGGCAATACACATTGCGGTCGGTTATGTGCTGATCATATCAGATTTTTTATTTGTAATTTTTACTTGATTTAAAGATTCTCACTTAAAGATCAAGTAACCCAAACACATACGATTTAAAACGTAGGATTTTCTCCATTTTGCACACATAAAAAAACAAGTATCTATGTTTTCGACATTCCATATAAGTTCAGTATATAGACTTAATCTGTATAGATAGCATATAGATTTTGCAAATCCATTATGTGAAGACCAAAGTACATACATATATCTATTTTTCTCGTTCGTTCCAAGCCGTTAGTTTTCGTTTGCTTGCCACTTCCACTATTCTCAAAAATTTTCATTTCAATTTTTATTAAAAAATAGATGGTAAGAAGAGTTATGTATTTAAGAAAGAAACAAAATATTGTAAACAAATGAGTGTATCAAAATAGCGAACTGAAATAATATTAAATAATTAAGTTAGGTAAAAATTTTATTGTATTTTGATAAAAACAAAAATTATTTCTCATACTCGTAATATTTTATTTGAAAACCTCAAAATAAGAGCTTCTCAAGAATATCTACACTACTTGGGAGTCACATGACTTTAAAGTTCATAAAATTTGAAATTTTTTGAAAAAAAACGTTAATTTTTTAAATTTGACACATGAGTCATTATGGTATCTGATCTGGTTTAAGAGTTATTGAAAAAATAGAGTGCTGCAAATGTTATTTTACTTATACCAAATTTTTTTTTTCAATGACTTAGAAATTGTAGAATAATCGTTCAAAATGCTGTCTCTCTTCTGTTATGAAAATGTTCAATTTAGCAACGGAGCTTCCCTTACTTTATTTTTGTCTACGTAAATGCACTTTTCCAAAAAATTTAAAAAAAAAGTGCGTATTAGTGTAACTCTGTCCGCCTGTCCGCCCGTCCGTGGACAAGTTTACAAAACTTTTACACCCTTGATGATAGAATGCTGAAATTTTAAATGTACGTTAATCTTTACTAGAAATTTATTTTCATAGAAGTAAATTTTTGCCTATCTTTTCACTTGTTGAAAGGCAAAGAGCTACATTACAAAACATTGATTTGACTTAACTTTATTATTATAGATTATAACTATTTTCTTAATTTTGACACTTAATCTTTTATACCCTGGTCCTTTGTGAAGGGGTATTCACTTTGGTATGGAGTTTGTTACCTCTTGAAGGAGTGGTCTCCGGTATAGAAATCTTATTATAATTATGTTCGTGCTCAGCGTAAAATTCTGATTTAGACATGTCCACAATAACTCAAAAACGAATAATGCAATCGTCACCAAATTTTCATAAGTTATTTTCTTTTCTGCCAGGGACAGTTGAACCAAATGAACCAATTCGGACAACGGGTTCGGGTAGCTGCCATACAACTTCAAGAGTTTTTTTTAAATATTTCCAAATCTAATAAAGATTAAAATCTAATATCAAAATTTGCAAAGATGTGTCCAATTGCTCTTTATATATGTTGTGAAGATTTTAATGGCATGGCTGAACTGGTTCGGGTAACTGCCATACAACTCCAAATGCTAATTTTAAATATTTGGAAATATTTAACTTAATGGAAATTTCTTCATGCAACTGCAGAACAGATGGATGACGTAATCAAAGGAACGGGTTAAAGGTAGAAAAATTAATTAAAAAATTTTTCTCCTCGAAGTGAACTCGAACCAGTGACCTACCGCTTCTAGGTGGACGCTCTACCAACAGAGCTACAGAGGAATGAAGAAATTGCCGACGAAATGTTCTCTACATTGCTTTATACTGTAATCCACATGATTACTAAGTATTTGTTTATATTGACTGCTACATACAATCTACTATTGAAACACACAATAACAAGAACATATATATTTATAGGTATTGTGCCTATTACACTAATTATATTATGAATTTTACTAATACAACATCATAGTTGTGAAATTAATATTTAAAATTGCTTGAAAGGTTCGGGTACCTGCCATACAACTCCAAAAGCTAATTTCGAATATTTGGAAAAATAATACGGAAAAATTCATGAAACTTGGCAGTCGTGTGTTAATTATAGGTCAGATATATTCGTGAAGCTTCTATAGAACAGTGTCACAGGTTCAAGTAAATGCTATAAAACAATGAAAAGTGTAGGGTATAATTCAACTGTTTTGTACCGACTAAAATGTTTTATTTGTTTAATATTCAATTATGGATATTATAACTTATTTATGCAATATAAAGTTTGTTTCCAAATATGTTTGATAGATTTAAAGAACAAGAAGCATAAATCTGGCTGTACCACTGCAGCTATACATAAGTACATACAATACTGAAAACAAACAGCATTCCAATTTCAAATTAAAGTTACACAGTAAAATGTTGTGAACCGGAAAAATATTTCAGTAAATTCAAAGCAACATATGTATTTATGTAAAAAAAAATGTGAAAGGTCGGTAAAGGAGGACGAGACGAGGTAAAAATGAAACGTTTTTTAAATATTACAGTTGAACAAACAAAATTACATTTTGAAGTGATTGTAAATAAATTTACAACAAAAATAAAATTTGTTCGTTAAATAGCGATTTTATTTTATTATTGCGTCTGATGTTGCTGTTATCGTTTGTGGTGGTCCGTCACTTCTAACTCAACATTTAAAGAAAAAATTTCACAGCACTTGATAAAATAAATTTGATTTGAACAGCACATAACCGACCGCCAAGTTTAATGAACGCGTTACAAAAGATAGTGAAAACGCATTTTGAACACTTTCTTTCAACTTGAGAAAGCTAGCGAGCTTTGGCTCTTAGTAGAATTTAGGTTTGCGCCTTCCAAATTCTCTGAAAAGTTTGCCAGTTACTTACGTTAACATCCATAACTCAAGCATCAAATTTCAAGAAATTATATCAATCAGTTCTGTAGATATGATAAAAAATGGCCTCCACTTCAGTTTCCGAGCGTTGGTCTTTCCAAAAAATTTATAGATTCATTGTTTTAAAATAAGTTAAATATTAAGTTAAAGGAATATTAATGATTATTTCTTTAAATGCGCACAAATGTAAAATTGGTCCGCAAAAAGATCCAGTTCTCGAAGTCTGACGTGTCATAAAAGTTCATTGAACAGTTGAAGGCCCTTATAAAAGATATTATCTTGAGCTTTATTTCTTCTAAACAGTGGAAGCCGAAACAAGTTTGCTGACCTCAAATTATATGCCACGGTATCACCCACATAACTCAATAGACTGCTTAGATAACTCGGTAATATTGACTGAACATGTAGTTTATATTTGTTCTTCTGCCACATTGTAAAATGATACGTACGAGTATAGCTTTATTTTGCAAAATTTGGAGTCTAATTTTTTTTGTTACACAAAAATAATAATGAAGAACAGTAAACCAGATGTGGTAAAATCATAGTGTTATATATTGTTAGAGCACAGTTCGATGTTAGACTGCTTCTAATTCTTCCAAGATAACCAATTTTTTGACTGATTTTAATGCTAATATATTCCGCATGATTATCTAGACTCAATTTATTGTCAATCTCTACCCCCAAATATTTAATTATTGCTACACTTTCAATTACTTCATTATTTATTTTAATGCTGACAACATCGTTGGTTCTATCATTAGTATCATACATTTCGTTTCATCTAAGTTTAATTTTAATTTATTCATATACAACCATTTAAACAAATTTTGCAAATATGCATTCATTCTATTGCAACATTCTTGTGCATTACGGCCAATTGTGTAAATGAGTGCACCATCTGCAAACAATACCATTTTACCCAACGTAATGTATGATTTGATGTCATTTATGTAAAGTAAGAAACAGAATACTCCTAGTATTGTTCCTTGTGAAACTCCATTACCAATTAATTCAGAGCGTAATAAGTAACCATCTACATTAGTTCTTTGCGTTCTGCCTCTTACCATACGAGTATTCTTTGAATTTCGCCAGCAAAATATTACGGTCAACAGTTTCAAATGCCCTTTTGGAATCGAGGAATACTGCTGCTATAACTAAATTGTTCCCTTTTGCCAGCTTCCAATCATACAGAACGAAATTGAGTGCCGTTTCGCAAGAATGATTCCCCCTGAGTCCACTCTGTTCGTTTCATAATATGTTATTTTCATTCAAGTACTCAAGTAGT